CCCCCAAAACCCCAAAACCCCAAAACCCCTTTGGAATCGTATTTTATTGAAAATTATATTTACATTATAGAAACTTTTTCTTGTGACTCTTCCTATTGCGGTGAACCTTAGGAATATCAAGATCGTCAAATGTATAGTCATCTTCATCACTTTCTTTAAGACTAGAAGCCTCTGAGAGTCACTTTTTGGCGGCCTTGGAGACTCTTTTCTTGACACTCTGTTTCTTTGGCTTTCTCTTATTTCCAGATTTGCTAGTCGTCTTGCTGAATATTTCGTTAAATTCCTTCTCATGCTCTTCTCTCTGGAGCTTGTTGATGCTACTCTGAAGGTCACTCGTACTCTTCATTGGATAAGTGTTTGACCTGTATGGAATCTTCAGCATTCTTCTTGAATTTCCAATTTTTCTTCTTTTTGCATGACCTAAATTCAAACTATCCTGACTATTTTCGCTCGGATCTTCATCTATCGAGGGCATTTGAGTGCCATAACGATGTCCTTTAGGGACACTTCTTCGCGGTATCATACTTTTGTTCCTTGGCATCATTTCCAGATCCTTGAGTTTGATTTTGTTGGGCTGTGGCTTCCTCTTGTCTTCATCCAGCATCATCTCATTGACTTTACCTGTATAGGTTTTGTCAATTTCGAAAGGGCTTGTGTAGCCTTCATCTTCAAGCTCTTCATCAGCATCAAATATTTGGGAAGTGTTACTGACTGATTTTCTATCCGAGCTTTCTGAAGACTTATCTGGCTCTTCTACTAGTTGTAAGTTAGGATCCTCAGCAACTGCAGAAGCTTTAACTGGGGCGGATATTGATTCGAAGTCGAGTGATGATATTTTAGAAGGAGTTTCAGGAAGTCTTACCATTGGTTCCTCCTTCTGGCTAGTGGGAACTGCGCTACTGGGAAGTTTAGATAATGATGAGTTATTGTCAAGAGTTCGATCATCTCAAAACTTTATTTTAACCTTTTGTATTGAAGAAATCTCTCGACTTTCCAGTTTTCCTCAAAATTCAGACTCTTTATCTAATCCTGATTTTCTGTAAGCAGATGACTTTATTGATCTGAGGAAATGCTGGATTTCATCAAAAATAAGGTTTCCGTATTTCTTCAATATCTCTTTCATCTCTGGAGTAAGCCTGACCATTTCGTTATGTGTCAACTGTCTTAGAGAAGTAGGGACCAAGAGTACCAAGAATGATATGAAATTATGGCTAAGGATTTCTGAAAAGTGTTTGACAAGATTTGGATTACACTTTGTCAGTATCTTTTTCTTTATTAGCATAATTCTATCATATAACTCTTCTCTTTCATACTCAGTCAGAGCGATATACTTCACCTTCTTAGGAGTAGGCATACAGCTTTTGGATCTCGATCTGAAGGACTTGTATTGAACATCTTGAGAGCTGAAACTTTTCTCTTTGAGAGAAGGAACAAGACTAGGCTCATGAATTGCTTTTGGTATCTTTTTCTTTTCTATTTTGAAAATTTCCTTTGGTTTTGAAGTCTTTTTCTCTTCAACAGTCGGTTTTATTGAGGTAGATAGAATTTCAATGATTGAATTTGTATTCAAAGTATTCTCTGAAGGAACTGGTTCAAGAGGCTCTACTTTAATATCAGGTTCATTTTTAATCACTTCTCCTTTAAATGGAGTTCTGAGTGACAAAATATCAGCTTGGCTTTCTTTGATATCCTCAACCTTCTCTTTAACTTGCTCCTTTCTCTCTAGCTCCTGCTGTTGATTCTCTTGCTTCACTTGCTCCTCCCTCTTCATCACTGTAACTACACTCTCCTTGCTTGCTTTTGGAGAAGGCTCGTCTATGCTATCTCAATCACTGTCCTCCTTCTTGGGTTCCTCTTCAGCATTCAACTGGGCTTTCTCTTCGGAGACTTCATCAGTAAGCTTAGCTGTTTCTGTTGGCTTACCAATCCCTAGAGATATATTCTTGTTTTTCCCGATTGGGATTATTTCTCTGTGCTTTGGTTTGTAATCCCGGATATTAGGCACAGACAGAAATAACTTCATGTTTTCCTTCAGAAATTTCTTAGATTTCCTACCGATAGCTATAAAGGAGTGGATCTTGAAAGCATCTTCTTTTAGTTGGATAAATTTCTCCTTTAGAACCTTCAGATTCAGCAGTCTGATAATGATCCTTTTTATAACAGAAACATCAATGAAATTGAACCGTTTGTAGTACTTCTTCTTGAAATCTAGCCGCTTGTTTAACCTGTTTATATCTTTACCTTTGAGAAAGTTTGCTGTCTGAGTGATGGTGAGATTGAAATTGCTAACAGATATATCCTGGATGAACTCGATGATGGTCCTGCTTTCATTTCCAAAATTTATTTCCTTTGCCTTTACATCTTGATGACAGTTGTCACAATTTCTTTGACATTCTTTGGTCTTAAAAGACTCTCCTAGGTATTTAAGTAGAAGCTTTCTTCTACATCTAAATGGCTCTTCACAGAATTCCATCATTTTGTAGATTGAATGAAGATTTTCATTCTTCCGTTCAGGTGTGGTTTTCTTGTTAACCACAATGAAGAATTCTAATCTTCTCCTATCATTATAGTCATAAAACAGCCGTCAATGTGCTGGTCTCCCATCCCTACCTGCTCTTCCTCATTCCTGCACATAGTTTTCAATAGACTTTGGAAGAGATGTATGAATAACAAACCTGACATTATGCTTATTAATTCCCATCCCAAATGCAATTGTTGCTATGACTATTTGGATATCTCCGTTCATCCATTTAGACTGAACACTATAACGCTTGTTGTCATTCATTTCAGCATGATAGTAGTCACACTTAATTTTGAACACATTGGTCAGCTTGAATGCTAGCTCTTGACACTCTTTCTTTGATAAGCAGTAGATTATGCCAGTATCATAGGGGAACTTAGCTTTGACAAATTTGGCAACGTCTTCACCAAGAGTTTTAGGATCCTTTTTGACAACCTCATAGAACAGATTAGGCCTGTTGAAAGAACTCTTGAACTTCACTACTTTGTCAAGACATAGCTGACTAATGATATCTCCTTGTACCTTGTCAGTGGCTGTCGCTGTTAGGGCTAGAATCGGAACACGAGGGAATCTTTGCTTTAGAATTTTCAATTGGAGGTAATCTTCTCTGAAGTCCTGTCCCCATGTTGATACTCAATGGGCTTCATCAATCACAAATCTCTCTATTTTGTTCTTGTAGTAAAGATTTGTTAACACTTGGAGAAATGCTGGGTTATTTACGATTTTCTCAGGAGTGAGGTAAATTAATTTCAGAGTGGGATCTCTTCCAGTGTATAAAGTAGTGAAAAATCCATCATGGACATCACTCGAGAAGAAGTATCCCTTATATTTGTCAGTGATTTTTTCAAGGCACATTATTTGGTCTTGTATCAAAGAGATCAAGGGCATTACCACAATAGTGTATCCACTCTCAGTAAAAGCAGAAATCTGAAAGGTCAAGCTTTTCCCTCCTCCTGTTGGTATAAGAGCAAGCACATCCCTCTTTGACTTGGTAGCGTTAATTATTTCCCGTTGGTTTTCCCAAAAGTCATTTTGATCATAAACTTCCTTATTAATATTAGCAATTTCATCTTCCCAGTCAAATTTTTCTTTCCAATCTCTTTCTACAATTTTCTCTTCTTCAATGTCGCTCATAAATCTCTCGAGCTCTTCAGGGTCTACATCACTATCGTTAAAGGCATCCTTTTGGCTTGTTTCTTCTTTAACTTCTTGCTTGAATTTGATTATTACTCCAGGCTCTTCAGTTTTGAGTAAGTTGTCAAGACATTCTGAGACCATTTTGTCATCAAGGTTTTCTTCCTTGACTTTGGCTGAAGGCTCAAGCGCCTTCTCAGTTTTTATTTTACCTTCAGCATCATCTTGTTTTACTGGGGAAGAAATAGAAGTCAATGTAATATCACTTGTACAGGCCGAAATCTCAGAGGAAGATGGCGGTGGCTTGGCAGCCACCGCTGTTTCTTCTCTAGTTCGATCTGTTTCAGATGGAAAATCATTCAGAAATTCCTCAAGCTCCTTCTCATTAAAATCTTCAATTGATATATCTGAGTTTGTATTCTCCATTTTAGGTGTAATTTGAATGTTTTAATTAATTTTGGGATTTTGTTGAGCTCGTGATGCTTAATTTCTAATTTTCAATTTAAAGCGCACTAATCGGGGTTTTGGGGTTTTGGGGTTTTGGGGAG